TTGTTTTCCAGTAACTTGGTCCTAACTGTTTTGATCGTTGGTGGCTTATTTTCTAAAAAGATTGTATGTACAGTTCTCCTGATTAAATTCAGTTGTGTTTCATCTAGATCTAGAGGTTTTCGTCCACGCTGGCGAGTTTTTGTTAAAAAGTAACAGCGATCTACAGCGTCTGTTGTAGAATGTGTTTTTTTTTAAGTCCATCATACACTTTCCACACGATCTGTTTCTCAGCTTTTGAGAGAGGTTTGTGTCGATGAGATTTTGTGGTACCTGCGCCAACAGCTGCATCCATTTTTATTCTATAAAGACGAAAATATACTTTCATTAATATTGCAAAGTTTTATTTATTATATGTTTTAACTTCTGTGTTAACAATGTAAATGAAATGTCAATTATAGTATTTTTATTATAGAGTGTTGCTTTATTACCCAGGAAACTTAAACAAAAATTGAAAAGCCATAATGAACAATATTTCTTATCTTAACTTAAATCAAGTGATAAAAGTTTTTAACAGTATCCGGCCCCTTATAACATTATTGGCTGAACCATGTTCCATACATTTTTCGAAATTTTCTTGATTTTAAAAATTAATTAGGTATTGATAATACAATAATTATTGATTTTTTCGATTAAAAATCTAAGTATTAATGATTTTACTTTATTACAATATAATAATTAATTCTTGATTTTTTTATTACAAATCCAAGTCTTAATCGTTTTGTTTTAAATCTTACAATGCGTTTAATGTGTTTACTTGTCATTTCATGATTTCATTTAAGACAAATACGGCAAATTAATAGATTTAAATTTCACAGCTGTTTAATTAACTCACCTCAAAATAACGAAATATAGTTGTTAACAATAATAATATTCTAACAATAATAATAGTCTAAAATAACAATAATAATCTACGAGTTTGAAGCGAAAACTTTCCGCTGTAATGTATCAAAATTTACTCACGTTCACTGTGCACTACAGTACGCTACTGACATTTCTCAAATTTCACCATTATCAGCAGCTGCAAATGTATGTGTCACCGTCTTCAAATTCTTGGCGGAGTATAGTACGTCGTCTACGTATCTCCACCAATATAAAAACTGTTTAAATCTTTGTCTCTAGATGATCCATAAAAATATCTAATAGCAATGAGCTTAGAGGATTGCCCATTATAAGTACTGCACTTTTATTTGTATATATTTGATTATTAAATTCAAAGTAGTCGTGGTTTATTTTTTACGTCAAATGAAATTAATCTGGAGTTGTTAGGTAATTGAAAATGTTGTATTTTATTAACTAGTTCTATAGTATTTTTTATGGTAAATTAAGGAGAAAATTTAGTGTGTTCTAAAATAATCTCAAACAGTTTTTTTGAAAGTTTATATGACGGAGCAGTATAAAAAGAAACTACAGGTCTTATTGGGTGATCCGGTTTGTGTAGTTTAATAAAAGAGTATAATTTAGGAGGCTGTGGGTCCATAATATTGAGGTATTTCTGTTCTATTGGATTTACTATTGATTTTGAATTTTCTAACGCTAGCTTAATTTGTTTTTGATACTTTTCTGTCGGATCTTTGTAAAAAGTTTCAATATTTTGATTATTGAAAGTTTCAATATTAAGATTATTAAAAGAAAGGCAATCAGTCGAAACAGCTGTAGTTATAAGAGTTAAAATAAATTGTTGTGGAAGTTTGAAAACAAAGTTTTCAGTGTTTTATTGTTACATAAAATGAATTTCCATCAGGTAACGGTTGAATTCATCAATTATTTACATATTAGACTTTAAAATATAAATTTACAGAACACCTTTGAAAATACCCTGGTTGTATCATCTAGTTAATAGGTTATTTTGAGACATAAAAAAGAAAAAAAATGATACCTTTGTCATGTTATAATAATAAACAATAAAGTAAATGTATTGAAATTAATTATTTAAGGGAAAATAGAAGGAAACATTAATGGTTAAAATATATAAGATGTTGGAATAGTTTGAAATGGAAATTACTTAGTACATTGTTGATTTTAATTTTCCTAATAGTGAAAATTAATCAAGGTAAACAAATATGACTTGTTCATAGTCACTTTTAATTAAGGTGATTAATATAAACATTAGTATTTGAAAGTAGAAACCATGGAAAATTGTAAAGGATCCAACACCGTCTAAACATAAAGACAAAGATAATGAAATAAAAAAAAAACAACGAAAATGGACATTTAAAACACATTATGAAAATTTTGAACTAATTTACGAAGGCTAAGATAATAAGAGACAAGCAACAATATTAAAAAATGAAAATAAAGAAATAATTATGGGCACAGAACACAAACTAAAGAGATGGAAAGTATACATATTCGCTCCGTGCGTGACCATCGTATTGGTAGATTGAAACGATGCCAGCGTGCGTAGCGGCGAAATATGACAAAATTGAAATATTGGACAAAATATTTTTACGCATAAGTTTTATCAAAAATGTGTGCAAATACATGTTGCGTATTTAATTCTGCTAATAATGGCAAAAACAGTGAGTGTAGTTTTTATAGGTTCCCAAAGATAACATATAAATTAGAGAAAAGAAAAAGATTAATTCGTGCTATTAATATGAAAAAGTAAATATCACATAATTTCATTTTTATGCAATTGAAATAGGAACAATTTAAATAATTTACCTTAAATGATATTTCATAAGGCTTCAAGCTAACTGCAGATGACTTTAGCTTTTATATCATAACTTTTACTATTATTGTTTTTAATTATTTGCTCTTTTGCGTTTAAAACTTGATTTGCCAGTATTAGATTTTTCGCTTTTTTTTTCGTTTGGAGTTAAAAAGATATATTATGATCAATTTTGAGAAACTCAGTTTTTAATACTACATTTAATTTGTACATAAACTGAAAAAATATAGATAAAAAACTAATTTATTAATAATTGTTAATTTCGCATGTATTTAACAATGTCAAACATATGTCATATATTTTACGGAGCGAATAAACTCTTTTTGATGACGATAGACCTTATTCTCCACCATCCACAGATAATCAAATAAATGAAGAAGGTCCAGAAATAACCAAAGAAGAAGTGATTCACGCAGTAAAATCTCAGCAAGATGGAAAAGCCACCGATCCAGACAATATCAATGTCGAAATACTAAAACTAATTGCAGATAACGAAAGTAAAAGCCTAGACTTAATAACAGTACTATTCAATAAGATATGTGACACAGGTAAGATACCAATAGACTGTCTAAAATGAACATTCGTAGCATTACCAAAATGATCCAATTCCTTACAATGCGATGATTATCGAATATTAAGCTTGATGTCTCATGTCCTTAAAACTTTTCTCAGAATTATACATACACGAATTTACAAGAAGTGCGAGTTTCAGATCAGTAACACTCAATTCGGATTTCGAAACGGATTTACGAAAACGGGGAACACGAGAGGCTCTGTTTGCTTTAAATGTGTTAACGTAACGATGCAGAGACTTGAATGTAGATGTATATGCATGTTTTATTGAATATCAAAAAGAATTTGACTCTGTTAACCATCAAAAGATGATCGAAATTCTAAAAACAACTGGAGTTGACGAACAAGACTTGTCGAATTGTCTCAGAACTATACTGGCACCAAACGGCAACAATTGAAACAGAACACACAACATCCGAAGATATACAAATCCGACGAGGAGTGAGACAGAGTTGCATCTTATCACCCCTTCTATTTAATTTATATTCGGAATCTATATTCAGAGAAGCATTAGATCAGGTCCAAGGCGGAGTTAAGATTAAGGCAATCAGCATAAACAACATCAGATATGCCGATGATACCGTCTTAATAGCAAGCAACGCACAAGAACTACAAAATGTAATAAATGCGGTTGTTTACCACAGCGAAATGTTCGGCTTACATCTAAACGTTTCCAAAACAAAAACTCTAGTATTTTCAAAGACACCAATAAACGTACATATGTATGCCAAGGATCAAATGATAGAACAGGTAAATTCCATAAAATATTTGGGAGCAAATATCAATAGTCAGTGTAATCCAAAAAAAATACTATCAAGAATCGAACAAGCAAGGAAAAAATTCATGAACATGAAAACATTTTTTACAAGATCAGACCTTAGTCTGCAGCTTAGAATCCGAATGATTAGATGTTACGTTTTTTCTGTCCTACTGTATCGCTGTGAAAGTTGGACAATGGACTCTGAAATAGATAAAAGAATAGATGCCTTTGAGATGTATATATACAGACGAATATTGAGAATTCCATTGGTACAAAGAGTGACTAATGTTGAGGTACTTTGTCGAATGTGTAGACAAAAAGAATTACTAAGAATAATCAAAGAGAGGAAAATGCATTACTTGGGTCATGTGTTGAGAGGTGAAAAATATGAATTACATCAAGTTATACTGGAAGGAAAAGTACAGGGCAAAACATCAGTAAGAAAACGCCAGAACTCATGACTGAAAGACCTAAGAAGATGGTTCGACCGCTCATCCGCAGAAATCTATCGCGCAGCAGTTTCCAAAACCACAATTGCCATTTGGATCAGCAACCTTCGAAAGGAGACGGCGCCATGAGAAGAGGAAGATAATAAAATTTTTTAAAAGTATCACTATTGTGTCAGTTAACATCATTCTTAGTTACCGATTAGCCACCTCAAAAGACAACTTAGACAATTATCGCAATAGTTCACGACAAAGACGTATGAGTATTGCAACAGTGTAGTATCCCAAACAATTATTGACGTCTCTATTTTTCCTTCTTAAAATTTTACCAAGGCCCTTACATGTCAGGTAAAAGGCGAGAAATGAAGAAAACTTTTCTGTAAAGTAGGTGTACGTCTATTACAATATTGGGAAAAAATAATTTGCCACGTTAATGGAAATCCCATTCACGTACTCAAAAACTAATTATAGGTTCGTTTCAAACTTGTTTTAAAAGTCAATTTATTCCATCGACCATTATTGCCTTCATTTAATTAAAGTTTGAGGAAAAATGGCAATCTTAGTGATTGACTTTAGAGGTAGTTTCATGGTAAAAAGTTCTTTTAAAAGCTCTTAATTGTCAGGTTGTTACACTTTGCAGTTATTTATATTTTTGTTAGTCATACTAAATTATATTTATATTTATGTTAATAATTATTTTCAGTTTTTTATTTAAAATTATGTTCTTTAGTAATATAATTTTGAAATAACAAAACAATAACAACAATTTTAAATAAAGATGAGTGAATCTAGCAAGAATTCGTGTTCCTGCAGACAAAGGTTAACTAAAATAAGCTTATCTAAAACTATAGAATTTACTAAATAATAATATAAACAATGAAATTAAAAACTCTTTTAGAAATTTATAAGCTTTAGAAAATACTGACTATAATTTATGGATAGCTGTAAAAAAATTAAAAAGACATTAATTTAGAAACCCTTTTGTATGTACTCCAGGTGGTTACTGAGTAAAAAGTAATAACGACAAAGCCAATGATTTTGTCTCAAAGTACTTATTAAATTGATGGATTCGACCCTTACTTGATGAAAATTTATTTTATGTAACAATCTTCTTCTTAGAGTGCCATATCCCTAAGCGAAACCTCGTAATAACCGTATTTGTTATAGAGGAGATATACTGTAATATCTTCTCCTTCTTAGAGTGCCATATCCCTACGGAACGTCGGCGACTACCATGCTTATAATATTGTTATACTGATCTCGGTCTTGCGCTACGTGCAGCAGTTGGTTCGTTGTCAAACCTGTCCACTGCCGCAAATTCCTCAACCAAGAGAGTTTCTTCCGTTCTATCTATTTCTTTCCTTCGATTTTACCGTTAAGAATTAGCCGAAGGAACTCATATCTTGGTCCTCTGATTATATGTCCAAGATATTCTAGTTTACGCCTCTTAGTAATATTTAATAGAGGTCGTTGATGTCCCATTCTTCGAAGAACTTCTTCGTTTCTGGTTTTGCTAGTCCATGGAATTTTTAGTATCCTTCGATAAAACCACATCTCAAACGCCTCGATTTTATTCATGATATCGGCGTTTAAAGTCCAAGTTTCACATCCATACAAAAGTACAGACCAAACGTAACATCTTGTAAACTTTTCACGGATTTCCAAATTTAATGAGTTATTGGATAATAGAGATAATATGAATTTTTGAAATGAGTTTCTTGCCTGTTCAATTCTACATCGAATTTCGAAGGATGGATCTAGATTTTGGGTAATCCAACATCCAAGGTATTTGAATCTCTGAACTCTCTGCAGCGGTTGTTGGTTTAATATCAGTTGGGTTGCGCCGATATCCACTTTACTGGTCACCATGTATTTAGTTTTATCGATATTTATCGACAGTCCCCAATTTGTACATTCCATGTCAACTTTATTGATTAGCTCCTGCAGATCGTCGATGTTTTCAGCTAGAATCACAGTGGCGTCGACGTACCGTATATTGTTAATTATTTCTCCTCCTATGATAATTCCTTTTTGATCTTTTAAAGCTTCCCTAAATAGATTCTCAAAATACACGTTAAAGAGGGTGGGAGATAGTATACAGCCTTGTCTTACGCCTCGTTCAATACTGATTGGCTTTGATTCTCTGTTGTTGGTATTAATAATGGCTGTTTGGTTCCAGTAAAGTTTGGCAATAAGTTTGATGTCTTTTTCATCTAGTTGGATGCTCTGCAAGGCGGTAACTAGTCTGGTATGCTGAACGCGATCAAATGCCTTTTCAAAATCAATGAAGCACATATATACGGATTTTCGTACCTCGACCATCGACGAACAGATTTGTTGTTATCACCTTTTAAAAAATACCACGTATCCAAATGTTATTAAGTTTTGGATTTGTTTTTGGGTTACGAGTTATTGAATAAGAAGTATCTCGTAACCCACCACAATGAATGATAAACTTCAAAGTTGTTGCATTTGGTATACGAGATATTTTATCGAAAATATCTCGTATCCCAACAGTTTTTATGGCAACACTGACGTGACTCAACAGATAAGGTTTCATTATTTTTCAGGTTATCTTATTTTTCTTGAATAAAAGTTCATCTTTGTTTATAATATATTTGTGCCTAATTGTAAAAATATTAAAACGTTGCTAATTAATATGATACCTCGAGGAAAGTTAGAGAGTATGAGGTTAGTAAGAAATGTGAAAATGGTATTCAAGAAAATAAAAATTATAAGCAAAACAATCCAGCTATTGAAGATAAACAAAATAAATGTAATAATACTGCAGAAGTGTATGATGATATTATTAATATTGAAAATTTAAATGGAAGCAACATTTTAGTTAAGTCAAACATAATTTCTTTCTTAAATACTTAATATCTGGGTAACTAGTTAATTATTATTTAACTCAGATAGACAGCTAGCGGCCTAACTCCCGCAGTGAATAGGTTGTTAATTATTAATTAAGCACTTCATTTAGCTACCTATGTAACTTTTATCATTACTTAATCCTTTTATAGATCCTGAACATTCTGAAGTTACACAGCTTATTCCTGTTACTATAGAAACTAGTTTAGAGGCAATTAATTTAATAATTATTGGAGAAGGTGAAGCCTTGGTTTATGAGGAACTACAATGCAATAACATCACAAATACAGGTAAGGAACACCTTGCAAATAAGAACTAATTTAGCAGATCGGTCACAGTGATATAGTTCTGTAATCTAATTATAATAAACAACCTTTATCATTTCAGGTGATAATAATTATAGTATTATCTCAAAAATAACTTTTCATAATGCACTGGACACTGGACAGTAACAAAACCTCTAATTCGACTGATATTATTAATAATTCAGACAGTTTAAATGGTGAAATTCATAATAAAAACTATTTTGATGATGATATTATTGTAGAAGATAACGATGAAGCTAGCAATACTGCTATTACCGAAAAAGAAAATTCTTTCGTGACCATGATTGAGGTTTCAACAGAAGAGGCTAATACTACTCCTCCCAATGAAAGTAAGCCAATTTCTCATATATTTTGATTTATGGATTACTCTCCAAACTAAATAATGTCACTCGAAAGATCCACTTATCGGCTCCTGTTTTGTGTACTAATATTATTATGTTTTTTTGATTGCAGATCATGAAGAGCATTCAGAAATGACTGATAATGAGACTGGAGTCCTACAGAAAAACAGGAAGAAGAAACCAAATATCATTCAATGGCAGAAAAATGAGGCTAAAAGACGGCGATGTGAGGGTGAACAGTACCTTGGTTACACTAGAGTAAATAAAGTAGTTAAACAAAACAAACCACGGGATGCTCGACAGCTTGGGGCCCCGTGCACCTCCAAAGAGTGCATTCGAAGAAAAACACGATAATGCTCGAAAATTACAGAAAACCAGCGGCAGAAAATCTTTACATCCTTTTGGAAAAAAACTAATTGGGATCAGACAAAAAACTTTCATGGTTAATCACGTGAAAGTAAACACCAAAGCGAAAACTTATACTAAAAATAACAGCAGACGAGAGAACACATTGGTCTACTACTTACTACAGTACAACAGGTCTAAATTTATGCTCATTAGGAAAAATAAAATTAGAGACGTCCAACTGCTCATTAAAAATACACCAGTGGACCGAGTAAAACAGTTAACCTATCTTGGAACAATAGTAAACGAACAAGATTATTCACAAGAAGTAAAATGTAGAACAGAAAAGGAAAAAGGAAGAAAATCATTCAACAATATGCCCAAACTCTTTAAAAGCCACAACCTTAATCTGGAGATAACAGTAAGGCTCCTACGATGTTATATCTTCTCGATATTATACTACGGAGTTGAATTCTGGACACTCACTGAAGCGATGGAGACAAAAATTAAAGCTTTTGAGATATGCCTATACAGAAGAATAAGAGTATCATGGACGGACAAGATAACCAACGAGACTGTACTACGAAGAATGAGGAAAGAAAGAGGGGTGATGTATACCATTAAAAAGAAAAAGTTAGAACATCCCAGACATATAATGAGAAACGGCACTAAATACAGATTACTCAAATTATTCCTTCAAGGCAAAGTATTCTGAAAACGAGGAATTGAGGGAAGAAAAATATGATGGTTAAAAAACGCAAGGAAATAAAAGAATGAGAAAAAAAGAAGAATTATTATTAATAAGAAAAAACCATTAATATTTGCGTATTTTAAAATTTACAGATTGCAAACTAAAAGCGACGTTTATAAAAAAAAAGAGAACAACAAGAATAATTATTTGACAGAATTCATGTTGGTAGACTCTGAAACGTCCGAGGCCTATTTACAACTAAATGTAGCAAATAAAGTGCAAACTGAAATATTTTAATTATAAAAATTAACGAAAAATCTTACCGATATATCTTTGAACACTTCTGGATTAAGTTCTTCAGTAAACTTGTTCTCACTTAATTTTAAAATATGCAGCTTCACTAATTTTAAAAATATCCTTGGTTCCAAATCACTAATTAAATTATTTTTTAAAGTCAACATTCTCAATTCCGTAAGATGTTTAAAAACTCCCACCGACAGTCGTTCGATTCTATTAAAATCCAAATTTAATTCCACTAGATTAACTAAACCCCGAAAGTTATGATCATACACGGCACTGATGTTATTATGACTTAAATCTAAAAGGCGTATCGTAGGTACTCCCCAAAATGGATGAACTCCGATTTGATGGATGTTTGATCGTTTAATGCTAATCTCCTCCAAACGTTTAAATTGTTGGAAAATGGGGCTGATTGACAAGGTATTGGGATTATCCTTTGGAGCTGATATCTCGAGAACCTCCATACCGAGGTCGATTTCGGATACTGGAAGAGGGTCCCGCATGCCGCCCTTGACGCACGATACTTTTCTTTGGCCCTTTTCTGATTGTCTACAATAGCAGGACTCGGGGCAGAGAGATTCAGTTGAACATAACCACAAAATTATTAGGCTCGGTGATATGAGGTGCCAGGATACGAGCATCCTGCAACAAAAGAAATAAAAGTTAATTATTTCATCTGAGAAACATTTATTATTATAATACTAATATACAGGGTGGTCCATAAGTAATTGTACAAAAAAAACAGTAGATTCTACACATTAAAATATTACGATTTAAGCCAAAGTGCTTTAATAAAATGTTGATATTAAGAAAAATACAGGGTGTTAAAGTGGAATTTTAAAATTTAATTTTTCGCTATAACTTTTATGTTTGTGTACATTTATGTATAAAAATTTACATCTGGGTGCTTTAGAGCATAAAAAATTATAATTTGATGCATACTTTGATGTAGCTAATAGAGGGCGCCACATATGTTATATATCTTGCATACATGAGCGCCTAATTATTTTTCTCTTTAAGTTTGCGCTGTTTTTATCAAAAAATAATTAAGATACATTATTTTAACAAAAAAAGCTGTACCTGTTAACATTTTTAAAACTCAACAGTTTTTGAGATAATTGCATTTTACAAAGCAGCTGCATAATTATGATTTAACGCAATTCCTCCAGGCAACGAAGAAAAATAGACAAAGCATTAATACTTTTGAATTTTGAAACGAAACACTTTCAACTAAAGTTATTAGTTCAACTAAAATACCTAAGAAAATAAAATCAAACATTTTGCGTTTTTTATTAAATGGTAAAGTTATAATGGTTATAATGATTATAATGATTAAATGAAAGGCAGATATCGAGTATAGTTTTTTTAATTAAATTTTGATTAAGTCCTTTGGCTTCCTAGAGCATCTTCAGGGCCTATGTTTTTCCTATCCAATTAAATCATGTTCTTAGTTTACTATATTATGGCCAATTAGATTATCAAAAATTAAGGATCCTTGTTAATGAAAACATATAAATTTAACCTTATATATGAAATATCGTTTCTACATAATAATCAAATTAAAATTGTCATAACAAAAAAAAAACAAATTAAGCTTGCTGTCAGGTATCACATTTAATTTTGATGGCAAAGAACAAAAGTATTAACAGCATAACCATACATATTACAATTTTTTATTTGTTATGAAAGCAATTATTACTTTAGCCAAAAAATATCTGTCTTTACTTTGAAAAATTAATATATTGAATTGTTACCTTAAAATTTACATATTTCGTCACTCAACTTAAAAAAAAACTTGTTTCATCTCTGACTGGAAGCTACTTGTACAAATCCTCTAACTGGATTATAGGAAACATTTCTATACTCAGGAACGAGGTTGGGGCAAACAGATGACACACGAAGCTGGTGGCACACCCTATGTACTGCTTTAAAATTTTACCATGTTCTGTTATACTGCATAAATCCTTTTAGTGGTTTCTCTATGCTAGTCCGTCATGTTTACGGAGAGTCCACTGTTTACAGGTCTGATTAATTAACCCATTACACAAAATTACCGGCTGTTTATGAAAAATGCCCAAGTCCTTTCAACTCGAGCTGCCTTACATCACCTGCCTACCTCGTTGCTCTTTTCAATCTCGTCGACTCTATTGTCACATGTCTGCCCTGTTTGAAATCTCTAAGTCGACTCTTTTGCTTCGTTACATTTTACCAGAATCAGCCAAAAATTTCCCTTCCGTCTTACAGCTAGCCTGTCGTCCACAAACTTAAAAACAAACAATCTTCCCCTTGTTATTCGTTTCTAACGATGAAAGACAAATAAAACCTTTTTTTTATCAGGAGGCATCATAAATTTACATAATACAAATTAACAAAATAGCACGTATTTAAACCGGAGTTCTACCTGACTGTAACAAAAGGTTCGATATTTGAATCTAAACACAGACAAAAAACATCTATATTTACTTTTGAATCGGTATAAATATGCGCATCATTGATTATTCTAACCGGAATATTAGGGGGACTTCATGTAACATAATATCTCTTTGGCGACAGAAAAAAACTTGTTGTTTCACCTAACATTGCAACACAGAGATAAAAACATATTTCCAGCGTTAGTACGCATTTAAAAATCTCGTCAAAAAAACTTAAAATATTATTTCGATTGTTTTCTTTGGTAAAAACAACAGGAGCGTACTACAGAAATCTTTTCTATACACTTTAAATAAAAAACGCTACAGTACAACCGTTTGCACTGATCATGGATTGTTTAATCCGAAAACGTTTTGCAATGTGTTTGTGATAGCCTGTTTGGGGCATTTTTATATACCTTTTATAAAGGATTTTAAACAAAATTTTTTGTGGCCATCAAAAAAAAAACAGAAAATCAAATTCTTTGTGTGTCTCTGGCATGAATGCATATCAGGAAGAAAAAAGGAAGACTTGATACATTTCATTGAGTACATTTCATGCATTAATGTTGCACATGCGTGATGTAGAACGTAATATAATCATTTGGCTTGACAACTGTGCAGGCCAAAACAAGAATTGGTCACTGTTCTCATACTTAATATACATTATCAATTCTAATATAATTGGAGCACAGACAATTACCTTTAGATATTTTGAAACAGGTCATTTCTTTATGTCAGCTGACAGTTTTCACCATCAGGTGGAGCAGTCTTTGCAGCGAATGAAAAAGGTTTATGGCTTCGCTGATTTTGTGTCTTAGGTTTAGTCAGCTAATTCTGGAAAGGTTGAGACCAAAGAAATAAAGCTTGAGGATTTCTTTGTTTGGCCTGACAACTCATTAATTTACGAAATAAACCATACAACACCACGACCCTACTTGAAAGACATGGTTGAAGTTTTGCTAAGCGAGATATCTTTAATTTATTTTATTAAACAAGTTTTGTTTCCCACTAAACAAAACAATTAAATTTTTTAAAATTTAAAGTAGCCAAGTCTGGCTTTAAAGAACCTGTCAGAATTTCAAAACCAAGAGGATTTACAGAAGAAAGGAAGCTAGCGATTTTGCAAAATTTGGTTACATTACTTCCTGAAAATCGAAGACAATTTTGGCAGAGCCTTACAGTCAATGATGCAGCCGCAGATTTAAGATCGGAGTTTGTTCCAGTTACTCAGCCTAGTAACCTCGAAAAATTGAATCTACGCACCAAAAAACATGAAAAAAATATCAAGATACCTACATGACATAAAAGTGCATACTCAACCCTTCCCCCGACACCTAACCTATATCCTTTCCGTTGTTTTATAATTTAAATAAATGCTTTATATAATTAAAATAAATTGCTTTAATTAATATCATAAATTGGTTGCATTTTTTTACTTCCTGAACATGCACAAACGAATATAAATACAGTTTTTATCTCTAAAACATATAGAGGCAAAAACATCTTGCACAAGTTGAAAATTTAGACCCCGGAGACCACAAATGGAGTTACCTAGTTCTGTATATATGTTTGTTAAGCAGAGAATTAGCGAGAGTTGCATGTAACCACAAACATTATCATGGGATGAGATGCTCGGATAAGAGCTCCTAAAACAAAAAAGGGTTCGTGATAATTATATAAAAAGAGAGTTCGCTAATGGAAAGTAAATGTCCGGTATTTTAGCAGTTCCGTTAATTGCATGGAACTTCTTTCTCACTTGGTGATTTAAATTTAGATTCCGAGAACAGATTGTTATGCAAAACAGAAACAACCTGCTCGTTTAATATTTAAATGGTGTAAATATCAGAATGGATAATAGATTGTTTTGACATATAAATACAAATTAATTCTTAAAGATGTGTTTAAATAATCGTATTCCAATTCATCAACCGCAGTGCTCCACAAAACGTTTGATGAAAACTTTCTTATTATCCTTATCAACAAATTTATTCACAGAGTTTAGAATAGTTTTTTTAGTTAAACATTTTAAACCACTCAGACTTATTAGTGGGATTGCAAACAAATATTTATTATTACATTAAATCAAATAGTACAATGTTTTGTATTTTTGTAACTTTACTGTTAGAATATTTTCTTTCCCTTAACATGATTTTGAGATTAGCTGTGACTACGAGAAATAAAAACGGTACAATAATCGCCCACTTTTTTTTGGTAAGGGCTCCGAGCCGTAGGTACAAACTGGTAGTATGCATCTGTTATACACCTTTTTCTTTAAGTTTAGAGAAATGGAGGTGTTTTTCAAGATATTGCTAGTTTGCCGTAAAGCCGCGTTTTCACGATGGCAATTGGCGAGACAATTGTCAGAAGACAACTGACTGGCATGAAATTATTGTCTTCGTGTAAACACTTCAGGCCAATTGCCTTGCCAACTGCCCTCACAATTGGCCCAAAATTCAGTTGTCTCCGGGAGTAGACTGAGGACAATGAGCTGCGCCCAGTTAGCCCCTCCACCACTCGAAATCTCAATTGTCGCGACAATTGGTGCCGTGTGAACGCTGTAGGCCAGTAGTGCTGCCAGTAGTAATTTGTGTTATTTGGGTTAAATTTAATTTTCGTACAATGAACATAACCTATAGATATGTTTGACGTTAAATGTAAGCTTAATATACGTCAGTGTTGACATATACTCAATTATTTCACACTCTCATATATAAAATTATGGGCAAGATTTATATATATGAAATGAAAATTTAAAATTTAAAAATACATATATAATTAAACAAAAACATATATAATATACATATATAATTGTGAAAAATACATATATAATTAAAAGCCTTTAAATTATACCTATAAATATTATAAAATAAAATTATATCTTACATTTAAAATACTTATATAATAAAAACCATTAAAATTATGCTTAAGGTAAAAATTTAATAGTTTAGAAACTTTAAAAACTACAGAATAAAGTAAAGTTAAATGAAAATAAAAAAATTGGGTTAAACATAAGAATACACTAAATACTCTATATTTAAAGTAAAAAATACTATTTTATGAATGCTTTTTAATATGAATTCAAAAATTGTGGCTTCTGATAACAAAACATTATATAAAAATTAATGGGAAAGTCACAGTAGTTGGCTGTATACCATCGTTTAAAAAAACTTATACAGAAGTAAAACACTTCACATTTACCCAAGTATATACCTAAATACAAGTGTGAAGCA